ATTCTGAAGTGATCAACCCATGGCAAGAACACAACAGCCCAAGAAATGCCCCAAAACACACCTGCGACCACTTGGGTTTAAACCAAACCCCGGTCCGGTCCTGGGGGTCATTGAACTCCACCAACATCATCCGCTTCGGCAGATTCCCCACGCCCTCCTTGAGCTTCTGGGCAAAGTCCTCTGGCGAATTGGGTGTCAAAAAATTGGACTTCTGGACGCAAATGATGGTTCCCTTGTGCCCTTGAAACCAGCCTGGAAAGAAACCTACCCCCAATTGGGCCCTGCGAAAGAAACCTTCCTGAGATCGCACATGCTCCTTTGTCCATGTGAGATACATGATGCACGAGGGCTGGCCATGACATTTTGCAGATGGTATCTTATTCTTCAAGCTAAGTTCTCCCTCTTCCTTGTTGCTTCTGTCTTTGCAGCAGAGATGATTGCCTGGACCGTCAACGCATAGCACAGTGCACCCGCTGGTAACTTCGGTGCGAAATACCGTCCCCAGACATGTTGTGGCCTGGTAACGGATATGTCATTGGTTGCTTGGTGCTGGTTGCGTAGAGGGAGACAACATCAGGGCAACGCAGCACCTGCGCAAATACCTGCCACAATTAGCAATCTCATCAAGAAACGATCAGGACAGGGGCCTTGTCTTCAAGCAATGCACGTGCAGCTCAGAAGTTGTGGGTGATGCCAGGCCGAATTCGCCCAACTGATGGCCACGATTTTGCCCAGCAGACTCACAATGAAACTAAACCAACTGCATGATCTACAGGTGTAAACAAAAACACTGTCCGTGGCAATTTACATGGCCTTGGGCAAGCCAAATAATCTCCTAAACTCACATAAGACCTCCACTGGCTCTAGGGAAACAGGGCACCCCTCCTGTCAGCTGATTTCAAGGCGACCCCCCCGTAGATCGCAAAACGGATACCGGAGATCCGAGATCAGCCGCGCTTTGCCCGGTCCGTCTGCTTCGGTGTGGCTTCCTCGCCAGTTAGGAGCTCCCTTGTGACTGGCAAGACCTGGCAAATGGAGGGACTGGTCACTCGCATTACACCAAATTTGCTGACCAGCATAAACTATGTATAGTGTGTGCCATCCAGTGACACCAAATTGCAAACTTGATCACTCCCTTGTTTCACATTTGAACACCAAACTGGCTGTAAAGCCGAGCAAAGCGCCCAAACAGTCAACTTGACAATGCAAACGAGGCATCGGACTCTAGTGACAATGAACCTACACCAGCAATGTTTAACCTACTTCTCTTGTCTTGTGCATCATGATGTGTTGAATTTGCGCAGGCACAAGTTAGGTGAGAAGAGTTTGAGGCCGTTGTCGCTTTCCGCCTGCGTGCGGGTTGCACTAAGGCCAACCCAAACTGCAAAGCGCATCAACTCAATCGTGACCCTGTCGAATGCGCAACCGGCGCTGCGGATGATGTCAGACCGCATTCCCCGAACTGTTAAGCAGTTAGCAAACTCTAGTATGCGATACCTGGCCAAAAACAACTGAATCCGGCAATGTCAAACACAAGGCGAACAACATTCAGGCGATATTAGCAAGTTCCCGCCCATCTGGGCTAGACAATTTTCTCAGGAAAGCGCTTGCTGCCCATGCGTGCGGAAAGCAAGACTAAATGAGTACGGACAATACCGCACTATGTTATGATGTCTAAAACTTCTAGAAAGAAACATCTAATGCAGCATTTGTCTGGCAACTGGCCTAGGCCTTATCGGGGATGATTTTGGGGACCACTGATTTGGGCGAATCTTGCCCAAAACGAAATGACAAATGTCCCATTGCAGCTGGCTTGCTTTTTCTCCGGTGGCCAAATAGCACGCAGGGGCATGCCCAAGTGATGCATGCGCATTTGCCAGTCGTCAACTTCAACTAGCTCCTTTTGAACTGCCAGCGTTGGGCTAAGCTCAACGCACAAGCTGCTGAGATGAGATTTGAGCCGCGGCACCGCGGCACGGCACACATCCAGGGTTGGGCAACACCTTTGACGACAGCCCGTTGTGTTGACCAAATGTTGGTGGCACGAAGGGATTGGCAGCTGCACATTCATTCTTTCTTTTTTTTAAACAAGTTTTACACATTGCATTCATCATCTAACACACACGCAAACTCGCACGCTGGTTGCCCATCTGGCCCATCTGTGTTAACGCAGACTTCAGCATGAGCATCTTGGTCGGGCTGACAAACGCACAACCTGCTTTGCTTTCTGAGCTGCACGGGCTATGGGATACTCGATGAATACGTGGCACTAACTACCAAATTTCACTAAGTTGAGTTTGGGGATCACCTTCATCATGGATAAGCTTATTGCATCCCAAAGTAAGCCGAGCAAACAAACATCACTTAAAATCCCAACAAGAACTAAGGAAACGCCGATCAAGTAAAACAGACATTCATGATGGGTGTCTTCTCGTTGAAGCCTTGTTGAGCTCTGTAAGAGTTGCCAGAGGGTCCCTTTTGCTTCCCCTTTAACCATCCCAAAGGGAGTGAACCTCATGGAAATCCACTGAACATGGCCTCAACGAAACACTTGGGTGTGGAACCTACAGCCCTAGAGTCTTGACCTCTTGACCAGGTCTCCGTTTGCCCCGTGGTGCAACGCGCTTTCCGCACCTGGCGCAGCACTTGCGCGATCTCCCCGGGCGCAGCTGCTTCAAGGGCCTACGGAATCTAAGGCTTTGCCCGCGGCTTGGTCTAAGAGGGGATGGGCCAATCATGTTTTTACTTCAAAAAAACAGAAAACATATAATAATTCTTTGTCATGAGTAGTTGTTGAAGCAAAGGGGGATGGCACATATGAAATGCAGAAAGGGAGATGACCACACTTGTGCTTTTTCATTGAAATGCCGCTGGCCACATGTGAGTTGACACATCGCATGTGTGACGTTTACAAAGCTGACCCGAGATTCGGGGTTGATGGGCGTCGTGCTGGTGCTTGGCAAAAGCAATTCCGTTGACCAACCCCCGTTTTTAAACAATAACAAGACACCCAGCCTTTCTTCATTTACTAGAATGCTGGATTGAGTCTGATGGACCGTAAGGGTCTCGGTCTTGTTTAGGGCATCGCTGAACCACTGTTGCTTTGGGTCTCCTCTTCCCTGCCTCACTGCATTCCAGTGGTCTGCCACTGAATTCCAATTGTATATCCACGAATTCTCACGGGACTTGTCCAACTTGGGGTTTGGCCTCCCCCGAGCAAAAGGAGGCACTCAACGGGGACCAACAGGCCAAACAGGGCTCATACCTTTGACAGCACCCCTATCCCCGCCAGCCCCCACCCCCCCGCCCCCCCCCACCCCCGGGGGGCGCCAAAGGCACCTGCGCCGCCTGCGAGTTGCCCCGAGCTGCGAAGCCCAGGGCCCGCAGCAGCGCCTCTGCGGCCCGGCTGCCTGTCGATTTGCAAGCGACGAACGCGACCAAGCCACTGACTGCGCAGGGTCTCGGGGGGACATGAAACCTGACGTTGGGGGGGGTCCTGCAGCCTGGAAGACCAGTCTCCTTTAAAAGGAACCCCGGAACGTCAGGTTCCAGGTTCATTGGTGGGAGGGTAAGTCGTGAACATACAGTGCAATGTGAGAGATGCTTCCGCTCAGACAGGTCTGTCTCAAAATGGGAACCCTGTTGGATGGTTTTAAGGGCAAAATGAAACTTCAAACGACATACCCTTTGGCAAATGACCCTGAAAACTTCCTGAAGTTCGCACCCCTCTCCCGAAGGCAGCGTACGTCAACCAGGAAGACAAGCGGCATGTACTGTCTCCGAGAAAAAGGCAGGTGTATTCAACGTGGACTGCAGCTGGCGGGCTTACAGGGCGAAACGTTGAAATGTGCTTGAAAGTTGCTCGATTTGGTGGTTTCTGAATTGAAGAGGGGTTTTCCCAGTTGCAGATCGCGTTTGTTTCCAAGCTGGCATTGGGGGTTGGTGCACAAACAAGTTTGTTCATTTCCACAAACAGGCTTCCTTTGTTCCAGGATCCAGCAAAGTGTTTTGAGGAAAACCCTCATCAACCCCATGTGTACTGTGGAACAAATAGAGGCTACTGAATAGCTTGAAACACCTCATTAACGCCAGTTCCATCAATTTTCAGCCAAGCTGATCAAAAAACATCAACGTATGTCACCAGCCATCTGCTTGGTGGGGACCGTAGTCCAAACTGCGCAGATCCCGCCTCCCCCCCCCCTTCTCCGCGGGAGCCGAGCCTTGTTCCAACTGCTCCTTTGGCAGGTGGATGCCTGGTCCGCTTGCTGATTCTCATTAGGAGGGAATGACCTTTATGAATCATGAACCATCGTTTGCTTTCAGGAATAATTCCCAAGTTGATTCTCAAAATTCCTTTTCACTCCCGACTGAGAACCAGCAGGAAACGGCGACCAGGAAATCTTTTGGACAGATCCGGGATACGCAGACAGTTTGATCTTGTCCAATTTGGATGCGAATGCCAGCTGCTGCTGTCTTTTCTGGACGAAATTCCGGCGAGGACACAAGGGTAAATTACTACAAGGGAACTCTTTCCGCAGGTGCCCAGTAAGGGGTGTCAAGAGTCCTTTTTGTTGGGCCCCGCGACGCCATCGGGAGGCAATACCAAAAGCATCTCTAGTTTTGACAACACCCCAGCAATCCTGGTAGAAAAAGGGAAGCACCCAGCCTCGCAGCGCTGCTGGCAGCGCTTTTTCCAACGCCGGCGGCAGCTTTGGCAAGCGCAGCTCCGACGTGGACATGCGCAGCAGCACCAGGCCTGATAGGTGAGCGGTGGCTAAAATCACAAGCCTAAATTGTCACAAGAAGGGGGAACAGTTGTCACAATATGAGGCTGGAAGCCGGGGGGCTTCCGCACGCTGGGCTGCTGCTTCCGCCCACAAATACGTTCCTTTCCCGACTTCCGCGCGTTCCATGCAGGAGGGGAGGGTCTTTTGCAGTTTTGAAAGACAAACCCAACCAGTCCTTGGGCCGACAACCGACGGCGTGTTGGACAAAAGGAATGCTCCTTACTCCTTGCACCGCGAATCCGGACTTTGCCCGGGGGGGGGGGGAGCCACATAGCACGGGACGATTTCACGACGCTTCCTTTTCGTAGGTTTAACCCTTTTGCGGGGCACGGTTGCGTAGAAACCTTGCGGTGGTCGATTCACCCCGGCTCCGTTTCCATCCTCAGCAGCACCTCCGCGACATCTCCAGCATGACCGGCGTTGTCTGGATGACATTCTGGACAACAGGACCAAAGAGGGTTAAATGAAGGTTCCCTATTTGTGCCTTGTGGCACCATTATATTTTTAGATGTTCAATCCTTCTATTCTTGGAAGCCGTGATGACTTGAAGATTGTAACTTTAGCCGTTGAGATGTTAAGACTTGAAGTTGTTGAGATTTAACACTTTACGCTAGCAATACTTTGTTGTACCTCACTACATAAAGTTTCTAAGGTTTGAAGCCATTCAGGGTTGAAGACGTCCAGCATGATTAAGCCATTAAGATGTCAACGCGGTTAAAGCGCTAAGATTTTAAGATTATATGTCAGTCAGATGTTCAGGAGTTTCAGCCACTAAGATGTGCAGACTTTAAGCTACTCAGACTTGAACACTGCAGGCCACTAAGATTCCAGGTTTTAAGTGTTAAGATTCCTCAGGCTTTAAACCATCAAGCCCGCGACAACTTTGTTCGGTGCGTTCACATACCTAAGAAAGGATAGAGGATAGCCCCCCCCACCCCCCGCCCATGCCCCCCCCCCCCCGATGACATCAAATACGTAGGGTGGGGGTGGGGGGTGGGTGGGCGCGTGCCGCGTTTCTGCCGGCTCGGGTCTCTCGCCTCCTTTTGCCGAAGACGTTGGAAAACACCGGGTTTCTTTAGCCCTCCTATTGAGCGGAAACGTTGAACACTACCGTGTGTTTTCAGAATTTTGGTGGGCGCAACCATGGACCTTGGCCTCCTTCAAGCTGAAAACACTGTGTTTGTTTGGCATCCTTTTGGCGAAACCCTTGCAATGACGGGGACATGGAAGTGAAGAGGAAACGAAGCACATGAAGAGCCGGAATGAACTATTGCTGCGAAGACCGGGTCCTTGCCAATAATCAAATTGCTTCTGGGATTGCAAGAGGAAATGGATGACCATCCCACATAGTGGCTATCTCTAGTTGAGCCCACCTATGAAGCAACCTCGCCCTGCAAACAATGCTTACACGAAAACAGCTTTTCAGAAGGGCGTTTAGAAGCTGATTGCGCTAGTGCGCTACGACAGGCCGGGTCTCCATTGACAAGGCTGGCGGAGACACCTCAAGAGTACCGCAAAATGCTGAAAGGCAAAGAGAAAAATCGAATGGGAGAATTCCCAAGAGAACCAACGGGAAAATACCACAGAGAAAAAAACAATCGGAAATCTCCAAAGGGACATTTTCCACTGGGAGAACTTCAACAAACAACGTCCGAGAGAAATCCCAAATGAAAAAACCCAATGGGACACTTCCAATGAAAATCCAAAAGGAAAATACCAGTGGGACAATTCCAAAGGGACAATCTCAAAGTAAAGTTCTGAAGAGACATTTCCAAAGGGAGGCTTCCAATGTGAGAATTCCAACTTTCCTCCCAAAAATCAACGTCCACTGGAAAAAAATCCAATGGAAGCATTCCAATGTGATAACTCCAAGAGAAAATTCCGAGGAGACAGTTCCAAAGGGACAAAGCCAAAGGGGCACTTCCAACTTCCAAAGGGAGACTTCCAATGGTAAAACTCCAATGGGTGAATTCCCATGGGAGAAGTCCAATGGGAAAATTCCAATGGGAGAATTCCAAAGAAAAACTTCCAAAGGGACACAAATTGAAGAAGGCAGGCCTGTGATGTCGGCGGCCTGAGCCGGAGGCGTTAAAGTTTGCTTGGGCCAACAAAGTGTGTTTTTTGTGGCTTCATACGGTGCCCTGCCAATGAATGAGACCTTTGGCTTGTCGCGCAAACAGATCATCCGTTTCAGCTGTTGGTCATGTCCTGCGATTTGAGTCAGCCAAATGGCACATGGTTGTTTCAGGCCCTCAAGAGGTCGTACGACTTGCCTTGCACCCAAGCCAACCCTTCAAATCTTGGTAGCCTGTGAACCAATGCCCAACCAAAAGGTCCTTATAGAGTCACTGACCTCTAGGGAAACCATGCCAAGCCGTTTTGGGGACTTGTTTTCATCCAACAAGGGAACTCCCAAAGCAAACGGAGCTCGAGCGAGACCGCACCGAAGCGCTTCGCCTGCGCGTCGCTCGTTAAGTGCCAGCAGCAGCTGCACCGCAGCGCCGGTGCCCACGCCGATGGCCCACACGGGCCGTGCCGCCACGCGCACGCCTCGGGCGCAAGGCGCGACGCGGAGGTAAGGCGTGTGGCAGGTGGGGCAGGGGGGGCACAACTTAAGGCACAACCTCTAAGAAAACCTTGCAACCTGCCCCCCACCCAATTCAAAGCATGATTGAAGCAACTCATTGTACACAATGGTCGTCCAAGCTGGAGTGCGCTATGGGCAGGCCAGGCACAAGCTGATCTTGTAAGATTTGGTAGTTTGATCAACCTCCACTAGCGTGTGTGATTCCCTAACCTTTGCGCCCCAGCATGTCCAATTGGTTTAGCAAGTTTCTGTCTTGCAGTTTCAGAACAGTGGCTGAGCGAACAGCTGCTCAACAGTAGGGGTGATGCACACAGAGACCACACCGCAAACCCTAGGCCTTGTCGCTGTAGCGCTAGGAGCACCTCGTCCATGACCTCCGCGGCCTAGCTCTGGCAATTGGGCCAGGGGGTGGGTGAATTTCTTGGCTTGCCTTTGGTTTCTTCTGGTGGGTCTTGGAAAACTGGTGGTTTCCCTGGTGGCTTCTTCTTACCCCCAAACAATGTCCTTCGCCTTTAAACCCTCAAATTGGTGCTTTCCCTTAATTTCCCTTTTCACGATCCGAAAGGGGTACATGCACGCCCAAATGGATGCGTCAAGGAAGTTCCTGTCCGTGACGTATATCCCTGCATCTTTGAGGGTGAGACCTAAGGGTCTCAAACCCGACATATCTCAGTGAAGCTTGACTACTGCAACGGTCTAAATTTTAAGTAGAATGGAATTGTGGGGTGCTTTAAACCAATTAGGTCATTATAACAGGAAACACAGGCGACAAGCTTCCAGGTGAGTCGTTTCTGACCCACCCACCCTCCAAGCTGCGAGCGCTCTGTTTTCTTTTGGCGTGCATCCTCCATGTGGAAAACCCCACATGGAGGCCTTGTCTTGACATTCACTTCCAGGCTCAGCTCCTTAGCCCCCTGCAAAGTGGTCGCCAAACCTTCCCCTTCCTGTACTCAGCAACTGTACCGCTGGGTGGGTGGGTGGGAAAACATCAAACTGGGATGTGAGGGGGCCTGGCACCTTGAGCCAAAATGGCCGGTGACCAGGTGACATTTCCCCCCCTCACACCCATACTTCAACCTGTCATCTTGTCCCACAGCCACTGTGTGGCTTTCACGACAAGCTTCCAGGTGAGTCGTTTCTGACCCACCCACCCTCCAAGCTGCGAGCGCTCTGTTTTCTTTTGGCGTGCATCCTCCATGTGGAAAACCCCACATGGAGGCCTTGTCTTGACATTCACTTCCAGGCTCAGCTCCTTAGCCCCCTGCAAAGTGGTCGCCAAACCTTCCCCATCTGGCATTCCGCGACCTACTCCGTCCAATTCTTCAGGATCTTCACGCACTTCGCGCACATCCTGAACTCCTTGGTGGGGTCCTCTACGATCGAAAACTCAACCTGATTGAACCGCCAACCGCACACAGTTTGCCATGCAGTCGATGGGATCCTCACGGAGATGGTACCCACCTTGTGCACCACAGCGCCCGCTACTCTTCTCTTGATCCACTTGGGCTTCAACTCTTGTGGATCCTTCACGGTGACCACCTCTTTGACTTCCTCCTTCTCGTAGTTGGCCACTACTTCTTCCAGCTGAATGGGCAAGTGAGTTTCGATGGGCACCTCCTGCAACGCCTCTTCCGCGTAGTTCAACACCACGCCCGACTTCCATCTGCCCAAGAATGACAAGGCCTGCAAGGGGAGACCTTTTCTTACGTATTCCACCGCCCCCGACCGCCTTGCCGAATGACCTGTCACTCTGCAACCTGCCACGAATGACCATGCCTCAACGACCTGGTTCTTGGACGGCGTGACCAGGTCCTGATTGCAGCACAACGGGATGTCCCAAGCTTCTTTGCTCCGGCGGTCAACCTTGAAGAGAACCTCGCCAGTGCGCACCAGAGTCTCGAGTGTGTGAACCGGGCATTCTTCTTTCACACCACGACCACAAGAGCACTTGAGAGTCCTTGCCACACCCGAGCCACCTGCGTCAGTCTTGGACACGGGCAAGAACAAAGTTGCGGTGCCAGCTTCCAAGTCCACTACTGCGTTCCCCAGTGTCAAAGCAGCTACCTCCACTTCCCTCAGCAACCACTTCATGGCCACCATGAGCACCTCCGCTGGATTCTTCAACGCCACCTCCCTGTCGTCCACGAACCCGAAGTGGCTCTTCACCGCCTTCATGTCGATGAGCGGGGCTCTATTCGGGGGCCCTAGACCTCTGGTTGCCGACCTTTTGATGTCCGTGAGCAGCTTCACAAACCAATCCTCCACGGGGAACTTCTTCTCCACATGCAACTGCTTGAGCTCCGCAACATACATCATGACCGACCTGAAGCCCGAGGTCGACAAAGCTGCTGCCACGCTCACCACAGTGTTTTCTTGGAGGGGGAAAATGGGTCTGCTGCCACAGAACTTCTTTGCCATGGCGAGGACCTCCTTCCTCCTAGAGGCTTTCGCCGCTCTCGAGGAGTTTGACGAGAAACCCTTGCGAAGGTCCGCCACAGCCAATTCCAAGTTCTTCGCGTCGTCCATCACCTCCATAGCGTCCTTGAACGACCCCCTCTTCTTATTCTTCAAGACGGGGAGATCCCTGCGAGGTTGAAATCCAGGCCCACCCCCCAACCTCCTGCATTCCCCTTGCCGACCATCACCTAAGGTTTTGGGGGACCTGGGTTTAAGAAAGCCTTCCGACGACCTTGACGAAGAGGAGCGCCACCGTCTCTTTACCGACCGACTCGAACGTGACCGAGAAGAAGTCGACCTGAGCCCTGATCTCCCTCGTGCCGTAGAGCTAGTCGAGTTGCCGCACAGCTTTTTGATCACATCCGAAGCCACCAAATCGCACCCCGGCGAATATTTCCATCGCCACATCTGCCTTGAAGTGACCTTGTCGCCCGCTTTCCTCACTTGGCTCGCCGCGACATGACCTTGGGGGACAGCAGCAGGGAGCGATCGTGACCTTGAAGCGGGCGGTGACGGATTTGAAATTCCGGAAAACCGTCCTGTCCCCGTTCCACTGCTCTGGATGGAGGTGTCCGCGGGGAAGATGACCCCGTCCTGTGACGTCGTTGGGTGAGTGGTTCCTCGGGTTCGCACGAAAGCGGAGGTTCGCGACCCCGTTGGCGACATCTGCGCCACCCCCAACAACACAGAACCACGTCCATGCCCACGTGCACCACCGACAACCATGCCAGGTACCATATGGCGGTTCCCAGCCATGTCATCTCCTCCAGCGGCATTTGGTCGGCGTCGACCCATGTCCTAGATACCTCCATCCTCCCTAGCATTCGAGCCCGGGTCCTGCATGCGGTTCGGCACCTGACATCCGGGGCTGGCCTAGAATTGTGCCTTTCCTTCGGGCCCGAACCGGATCCATTTAAGGACCACGCCTCCAAAAGGTTCAGGCCCACTCGTTTAAACCACAGAGGGGACCTTGCTCCGTTTATTTACCTTCAAAAACCCTCCTTCCGAGCACGACCTTTCGTGCTCCCTTCACAAACAAGGCCCTCGCCTTGTTTGTCCTTCCTTCGGGGCCCCAACCGGATCCAAACAACGGACCCCCTTACCTTCAGGTCGAGGCCCCCCTTCCCTCCATCGAGCCCAGCCGAGCTGGACCGGATCCGATCCTCGGACCCCACCTCTTTTTCCTTTGGTCCAGCCCGTCAATGGAGGTCCAGCCATGCCTCGCACGGCTGCCCTCCCCACAAACCCGGGTGTTCCCCAGGCGTGGGGAGTTCAAACTTAAACTCCTTCGCTGCCCTCATCTTTACCTTCTCCAGCGTCTCGGGCTTCTCGGCTCTCATGTGTGGGCGAGAGAGCCAATCAGCCATCAAATTCAAGACGCCGGGGATGTGCATGGTAGACACATCCATGACCTTCAACCTTTCCAGGATCAGCGCCAACTCCGCACCCAAGAAATTGAGGGCAGGGGCGCTGCTAGCCAACTTGTCGGCCACCGCCAAGGCCACCATGCTGTCCGACCTGACGCTCAAGGTCACCGGCAACGTCGCCAATGTCGACTCCCAAGTTTTCACAGCCATGACCACCGCAAGGGCCTCCACGATTCCTTGGCTCCTTGATGTGCCGAACTCAAAGCGCAGCGCCTCGGCCATCTCTTGCGTGACCGGCAGCTCCATGGCCTCTAGGGGCGACAGGTCCCCCTCGGTTTTCACAGCCAGCACTGCCCCCAAACCCATAGGGGAGGCATCCGACACGATGCACACCTCCACACCGTTCGGCTTGAGGGGTACCGCCCTGGATGGGGCCAAGGACACCCCCTCCAGAAGCTTCTCCAGCCAAACCCGGGGAAGCTCCAACCTTTTCGTGTGGACCAGATGCTCCTTGTGCCTCTGGTCACTCCTTCTCAACCGTCTCTGCTCCTCGGCACCACCCGCGACGTCTCGCTGGCAACTGGTCAACACCGCATAGATGATGGAAACAATCCACCTGGCCTTCTTCAGGATGCCGGCCACCCAGGAGCACTTCCCTGCGATGGTGCGAAGCTGCCTGAGCCCCACCATCTTCTTGACCTCCCACTCCCGCATAACCGCCTCAATCTCCTTCATCATCTTCTCCGGCACCGACACCACCACATAACCGTCCTCCCAGTCCAGCCTGAAGGTGACGCCGATCCACACCAGGCGATCCGCTCGATGTCCTTTGTGCCATGCCAACGTTAGTCCCAACGCGCCCATGGTCAGCAACATGAGCGCCAGGTTCCGGTCCCGTCTCGCCTTGCCGCCGACCAAGCACGCCAGCGGATCATCCATGTAGATCTGCATCTGCACCTCCGAGGGCGAGTACATGCTCTGCAAGAACCTGGCCAACTGTGCTGCCAACCGTCCCATTACTAAAGGGGCCGCTTTAAACCCGAACAGCATGGCCACAAAGCACAAGTACGTATCCTCCATCACGTCCGGCGTCAGGCAGTGCTTCAACTCTGCCCCATGGACCGCGTAGTGCATGTAAGCGTCCGACAAATCCGCCGTCACGAGCTCCGCCCCCCAATCCTCCGTGGACATACCGAGCTCCTTGTACTTCTGCAGCAAACTCGGTTCCAGGCTCTTCATGTCCTTGACCATTCTGATGACATCATCAGGACGAGGAAGCACTATTCTCTCCGGGGTGACGCACTTGTCGTTGCCACCGCTTCGCAGCAAGTCAATTATCAACCTCTTCTTCACCTCCCCGTTGGGCTTCTCCTTGAGCAAGATGCTGAGTTTGCTCATGGTCCCAGATTGCCACGTGCCCGCCTCCCCCTTAGAGATCCGACACGCGTACCCTTTCTTGATCAGGCGGTCGACCTCTTCCGCCGCCGCATCCTCATGCTCCACCATGGACGGGTAGTTCTTGAGAGCCGCCCACGCTTCCGGCTCCAAACTCCTCCAAGGGGTGATCTTCATTTGGTCATCCTCCTTCACCAAAGGGAAGATGCCGCACGTCGGGATTTCCACGCTCATTCCCAACGGAGCTCCTTGTCTCACCCATTGTCCCGTGTAAGCCTCCGGGTCCGCCCCCCGATAGGCCCACGCCTCCAACAGGTTGGCCTGCAACGGGGACTTGAACTTCGTGCCCAAGCCCTCCTCGAAGTCCTCATCCTGCATGATCTGGGTGTTGAAGAACTTCACGAGCCAATCGCGCCACACCTCCACCATCCCCGGGTCGCCCACCGCGTCGCCAGACCCATACTCGGTGGCCACCTTGAGGGCGTCCGGGTAGGCCGACACGAAGCTGTCGAACATATCGGCCACCTTCTCGCCGACCGATCTCAATGCCGGCAACCTCCTCACCGCCGTCGCCGGGTTCCTCATGCCCCCTATGGCCTCTCGGTTCTCCAGCTCCCGCCGCGCCTTCTTGGAGTGCTCCGCCGCTGCCTTCAGTTGTTGATGCCGACCTGATCCGCCCTGCCACCTCAGTTCCGCAAAATGTTTCTTGCGCTTCTTGATCTCCGGGCAGACTTGAGGTCCAGGTCCAACAACTCCTGGGAGCCCGCGGCCCGCTCGGGACTTCGCGATGTTGGTGGAGCCGGCTTGATCTTCGCCGAAGTGCCCTTTATCTCCTGAACCAGCTCCATCCCTCTGAAAGTCAACCACTCCTTTTTGGCCGTTCTCATCCATGACGCCAGCACCAACCCCGCGCATTTCCTGCATAACTCCCGGGGGTATGCCCCCGCTCTCAAGGACATCTCCTTGCCAACCACCGGCGTGTGTTGGAAGCCGACCCCGCACAAGCAACCTCCAGAGAGCTCCTTCAAGTTATCCAACCTCCCCGCGAAGACCTGCGGCTTGAAGAATCTCATCTCTTCGTCCTGCATGTAGCGGCAGGAGTTAAACCCTGCCACCGTGATCCCCTCCTCCAGCAGGAACTCCTTCATCTCCGGCAGATCCCAAACGCTGCCCGCGAGCTTGTGACCTCCATCCGGGGGGTTTTCCAACGTTGCTATTGGTCGACTCCCTGTTGCCTTGGCCCTCAGCTGCATCGCCCTAGCCATTCGGATCGACCGGACAGCCATCAACGTTCCCCGGTCAGCTTCGGCTTGTTGGCGTTCGTCATTGTCAGGAAGTCCGTAAATGAAGACCTTGGAACGAACGGGTTTTGGAAGCCCTGGGGACTCTTTCCATCTCAACCTGGAGAAGGACGAACAAGGGAAACCCGAGTGGTAGGCATCATACTCCCCCAGCAGCATCCCCCTCAAATGAGTGGTGTAGGGCTCTTCCGCCAACAGGTCCGTTCCCCCTAGCCTGTCCACACTCACCATCGATACCCGCATGTAGACCTCCTGAGCCATGGTCATGAGTTCCTCGGCCAGGCCATCCGCTTCTCCTGCAAAATGGTGCAAGAACTTGAAGGGCCTCATTTCCACGTACTCCCTCATGCTTCTCGCCTCTTCCCGTGCAGCTTGAAGTCGAACCTCAAAGCCCTCTCCGATGGCGACCGTGCCCTCGAGCTCTGCCATGACTCCACCTGCCCTTCTAGAAGAGCTCGATGCCATTGTGCCTAAGTCCCCTTCTTCTGAGAGCAACGAGTCTGCGGATGGGAGGGTGACAAACATATCTGACACTTGTGCACCCGCTTGACGTGACCTGCGCACTCCCCGCCCGCCTCGATTCCTGCACACGGGCTTTGACCATTGTTCCATGCAAAACAAAGATCGTTCCCTTGGTTGTCCTTGACCTTCAAACCCTTTCCACCACCTTTGGGGGCTTTGCCTGCGTTTCCTTTGCCTCGGTTGCCCTCGTCTCGTTCCTCCCCCAATCTTTTCTTCTTGGCCGCCCTCCGGTCCCGGTTCGCTTGCCGTTTCTTGGGGTCGTTCACCACAGTGGGCATTTCCCAAGAGCCTTCGCCCCCTGGGGCATGCATCTGAGTGAACTCCTCTACCGGCGTCTTGGCCACCCCTCGACCTCCCGCCGCCATCCAAGCAGTTGCCGGATGCCTTACGATGAGCCCAAAAACCCTCGTCCTCCAAGAGCAAGCGAAAACATGCCGTCCACGGACTTTTGGGCTCCCATCCATCCGGAGGCCTCTTGCCGTTGGAGGCGTCCACCAGGACCTTCTGCTTGATTTTGATCAACTTCTCGGATCTGGCCTTCTCGTCGGCCGCCACGATCAAATGCCATGCCGTGGGATACATTCTTACCAGCTTTTCCACGTGCCTCTCGTACCCCTCCAAGACCGCCAAACTCAGGATGCCCAACATCAGGGAGGCCACCCGAAACACTCTCCAAGATGCCAACCACTGCTGAAAATTTCCTGGCCCCGGGAGTTCCTTGGCGATGTAAGTCCCATCTCCCGAAGGCAACCAGGTTCGAAACTTGTTTGCCCTCAAAGCCCTTCGCCCAAAGGGGACCCAAACAGCGAAGTCGACAAACGGCGGGTTTTCCTGAACCGTAACCTTTTTGAAGAGTGCCGTCAACTGCTCCAACGTGGGATCCTCCTCGTCCTGCGGGTTGAAGCCCATTATGGTCAGGTAACGCTGCACCCAACTGTCGTACATATCCATGGTCACCGGGATGAACTCCCCCTCGTCTGATTGATCTATCACAGCCGACATCTTGACCGTCCTTTCCTTCACGTTGTGGTTTCCTGTTGCCGTTCCCGAACCAGTCGGTGTAGACAAAGAACCACCACCGCCAGAAACCCCTTGGCTGGATCCAGCCACCATAGTCGCCTGCAACGGCTGCCACGGATCCGTGTCCCTCCAGTCGTCCCACGCACCACCACCAGAAGTGAAAGCCATTCTCCTGCAGCACCGCCAAACCAACCCAACATGGGCCGCTTGAATCATAGACAGGGGCGTGCCGTCGGAGAACTCCGCGTGATTGACACCCTCCAACGCCGTCTCCGGGAGAGCGGCCATCAAACGAACCGAATCTCCCGGATCGCCCACACGCCCAACGAAAGCCAGCCAAACACCCTGGTCTATATTGTACCAGGTGAGGACCTCGTTTAACGACGTCCATCGCATAGCAATAGCTCCATCGGGGAAAAGCGACATAGCGGCCCGCGGAGGAAAACATCAAACTGGGATGTGAGGGGGCCTGGCACCTTGAGCCAAAATGGCCGGTGACCAGGTGACATTTCCCCCCCTCACACCCATACTTCAACCTGTCATCTTGTCCCACAGCCACTGTGTGGCTTTCACATCAAATGCTCCGCGGCACATGAAAGCAACCTTAGAATCTACATAAGCTGTCCCAAGCAAGGGACTCGGAACACGACAAACACAATGAGAGTCCGTATCGCGAGTTGCAACATTATGGAAACCTGTCCTCCTAATGCTTGACCTTGATACAGCTTGAAGAGATCATCATGTGCATGTTGTGGAACAGAACACCAATCAAGTGAAAACCGGCAACAGTGGAATACGTAGCCCTCTTTGGTGCAGCTAAAAAGCTCTTTGAAGGAAGTTCCAACTTTGATTGGAAAACGATTCGACACAGGAAACCACGCATACCTGCAGCCAAACATGCCAAGCTCACAGCTCTCATTGCACAAGATGCTACTTGTACCTATGAAGGCGGAAGGAAACAACGCAGCTCGCGGACCTGCCAGACGAACGCGTTGTCTGGAACAAAAAAGGGTCCTGGAGAGAAGAAAAAAAAAATCTGGGCCTGTGTGAACATTCATCATTCATCAACTTGGCACAACACACACAGAACCACACAGACAAACAGACAAACAGACATAGAGGTCGGTGCACTGTGTCAAAACAGTGCAGTGGCCAAAGCACGTCGAGCATCTCAGATCCCCAGGTTGGTCGTGGCAATCTACCGCTGACCGCTGGCCTCCCGGGCCGCCGTTTCGTGGTCCAAGCCAACCCAAGGGCTCGCGACCACCGCCGCACCTCAGGGGAGTCCACAGCAGACTGCCCCAGTCCGGTTCCATGTGAGTTGGGCCCACAATCAATACCTGGTGTTAAATGGGTCTGCCAAAACCCGTGGTAAAAGGATATGTTCACCTGCTTGTGGTTGGGACTCCCTCCATCTACCTGGGCTTTTATAGTGGCTCAATAGCTCTTCAAGCAAGCAGCGGACTCGCAAAAGAAAGCCAAACCCTGCACAAAGCAGCAATAGCAAGGCAGCCAATTGAAAGTAAGACGTGTTTTACGAATCATGTATGTCATCTTTGACAGCATGGCGTACACCACGTTGCCTGTCTTGGACGGGCTGCTTCAAAAGCCGAATCCTGCCCTGTGTGGGCAAGTCTGCCTCCTGAGTGATGATGCCAGTGGAACATGGTTGCGCAAAACAAGCTGTGGGTGTGATTCCTCTGTATTGGACACCACTACAACAAGGGAAGCCAATACAACCTGGAATTAAGGATTGATTTTGGACAAGCCAGTTTGAGGGTACAGTGTTTGGACAGGGAAACCAGCCGATTTTGAGGCGTGCCCCATGTACAACAAACCTCTGCGGAAACTGTGCACGGGACCAACCCTCCACAAGTCAGTGTCTTGCAAACCTTGCCAAAAGGGCTTGACAGCTTGGTGGTTGGGTATTGGTTGCACCTGTGAGGTGGTCAGCCCGTATGGTGGCTTTATTTTGTTTGGTAGGTTGGCAGCTTGGTACCCTGAATGGGGATAGAGATGCAGTTCATGTTGCGGTGGGTCAAAATGTAAGTAGTAGGGTTTGTTTGTATACTTATTACATCTTATTACGCGTGTTAATCACAGCGGAGAGTGACTCTTGTACAGCTTCTTGAGGCTAGACCTTACAGGATTGCTTTTTGTGACCTATGCTGGCTAATTACCTTACAGGATTGTACTTTCTTGGAACCTCGCAAACGTTTTTAAGGTCAGGGCATCGCAGGATTTTTTTTTCTCGACCTTTCATACAAAGGGCTGTCGCCAGTCCCAATCCAGAAACCTAGTACAAACAACACAGCTAAGGGGACACATCTCCTTGGCAAGTGAAGGATCTTGTGCGTGTGAGCTTTCAACAGCTGCGACCCCCTTCAGCCCAAATTTTGGCGATGTGGTAGTTGCCAAAACGGTTCCAGCTTGCCAACGAATACCCTTGGCCCTTGATTCTGGTCCATATTGAGTGAACCTCAAACTGTAAAGTTCCCTCGCGCCTGTCTCCTCCGCGATAGCCTCGAGGAACTGCCGGTACCTCAAAGCGAATGTGTCAAAGGAGGTCACGTGTCCCTTGTGCCCCCGTTGGTTGCGGCTACCTGGTGCTCGAAAATCTTTGGGAAGTCGCCGCCACATGGATCTGAAATTTGATTGGGGACCCTTTTCTACACATCGTTTAGATTGGGGATGTATGCCACAAACCATGTTCAAGGTGTGCCAGACACATGCATAGTCATAATATGGCCAAGAGGCACATGCGACTTGTCTATGCCTAGACTTTTGGGCCAAGGTTGGTCCAAATAATATATCTTCGAAACAAAGGACACCTCATCGTGCCATCAATTCACTGGCCCTTTGGCAGCAGTTCTTTCATTCTCCACCTGAACACTACCGCCCAAACTCGTGGTTTCTGCTGTTTAAAGATGGCCGAGTTGGCCCGTGGTACAGAAGCCCTGCGGTTCTCGCGATTTCAACTCGGCCACTGAAGTGGGGTGCTTGGGTTTTTGAGGTTTGGTACCCTGTTCAGGTTCAAAGGGACACGCAAAGAAGCAACACCATTGTTGGGGTACAAAATCCCTATTTTGACAAATACCCACCCCTTTGACCCAACCTGAAAAGGGTACCCTCCCAAAGAAACGCTTTTTCTGCCTGCCGTCGAAGTCCCCACTTGAGCGACCGACCAACCGACCTCCTTGTCCAAGAGGCCCCCAGCGCGGCGCTGAGCTTAGGAGCCCAGAGCCCAGGAAGTGCACCACGCAGCTGGGCTGCAGGCCCTGGCGCCGTCAAAACTCCTTAGGGAGGTTCCCTAAAAGAGGGATCCTCAAAACCAACAAGGGAAACAGCAAACAAATCCTTCCCAAAAATGGAAGTTAGCGGTGGAATCCACTGAACTTCAGAATGGCTTGCAATGTCTTGTTGCCTGTTAGTTTCCCTTCCAAATGCCAAGCAGAGGGCGGTCCACTTTCTTAGGCATCCCTATGGCTGTTTAGATCACTTCTAAAGGGTCTATGACAATCCCTACTAACCCCATGTACAGAGGACGGTTGACCCTGGCGCACATCGCGCGGGCAAGAGGCCAAAAGAAATATAAGGTGGGTAGGTGAACAAGGGAAATGGGTGGGGTTCATTCGACTTACCTCCAAAACAAGTTGTCTGATCTTCAGAACAGTGGACGGACAAAGTCCAGCCCACGCACCTCTGGTGGTTACCAACCACGGGTTTCATCCAACCCAACTGGTGCGAAGTTGCTGGTCATCCACTGCATAAGGTGGATGTGTCTCCATTGACTCAACGTAATCCGTTGGACACCACTAGTCCTTCATAGTCCTTCAGCTTCTGTTTATTGCGAGGGTTTGATGCACAAGCAAATACTTTACCTACCCTTCAAGACCCTTCTTCTCACAAACATTGCACCTAACGCTTGGAAAATAAAACTCCTCTTGGCCGGACCCCTTTTAGGTGCCAGGGTCTTTGGCGATCCCATCTTGGACCATCTGGCTTTGCCGATCATGCCAATGCTTTCCGCCATCTTGCCCACAGGACCCAGCAAAAGTGACAAAAAGTGATACCATGACAAGCGGGGACTGGCATAAGGCGACCAATCAAAGTATTTTGCTGTGCTTCCAGCAGAATCGAAGCTCTGGAGGACGCTTGTCCAAAGCAAATTGACTTGTCCTTCTTGTTTCCCATGTTTGGGTTATCTCCATTGCCAAAGCTGCCACCGAGTGGTGTGCCAAACAGCTGTTACGCAACTGACCACAACACTTGTCTCAAGATATATAAGTCTGTCTGAATGTAGGAGACCTCTTTTTGGATTGTTTTCGAGCAAAAAACAAAGATAGGAAACCAACCACCCACCTGCGGTCCTTTTTGAGCAAACATGTATGTCAGCTTTTGCCCTTCGCGCAAACAGGCCTTGCTGCCGGCTGGCAGGTACACCCGGCAGCCAGCCACCTGGACGTGTTCGAGCCAAGTCGGGGCACCCGAATCCTTCATTCTTCGCAGTTCGCATCGACAGAATGGTCACCCTCTCGAAAAGATATACTATATGTATGTTCTCTGTTCTTGTGTACATCTATATGGACATAGAAACATGTGGATATTTAATTATTATGCATACCCAGGTGGTGTCGTGCAATATCAAAATATAACCTAGAAATATCACGTACTGTTATGTAGTGCAAGGCACCTCAAGCATGGGCCACTAAGGACACCCAGGGCACCTTGCTTCCTTTTGCTCTGCTTTCCTCAGACTCAGCGTGCATGGGCACGACTCATGGGCTCCTGTGACGCAATTAGCAACATTTGGGACAAGACAAACAATCTGTTAATACCTGGAGAAGCAATCACAGTTCAATAGCAAATATGGTGCACAACTTGAAATCAATTGAATAAGCATGTTGCAGAATCGGGTGGACAACGGAGCACAAGAAACGCGTGACTGTCAGTGTGCGTCTCTCCTAATGGACACACTCCCAGCCCGCTGGAAAAAAGTGGAGGCTCTTTGCATAGATGCCATAAAGGGATAGCCCTATTGGGGTTGCGCCTCCGCCGCCCCTCATACATCACGTAGGGAGTGCGGCAGGGTTGTGGAAAATAACTCGTCTTGGAATATATTAGAGTGGGCCACTTATCACTTAAACCGAGTACCACGCTATTTCCCACAAGTGGGGTTCCCAACCAAAAACGATCCTGACTCAAACCTCAATCATCCACAAGAGCAGTGTATTCCCCTTCAATATTGACATGGAACCAAACAAACGGTTCCCTTGAACAAAAACACAACACTCGGAAAAAAGTGGCTTTGTGGGCTCCATGCTCATCTCCAGTCAGGACCCCTGCCACATGGAGTCCGCCCCACCTCCCGCCACTGCGAGCGGAAGCGGCGCACGGTGCGGGAAGCGCGCAGGTCGCGCAGCGCGCGGCCTCTCCGCGACCAAGTGCGGCATCCTGAAACGCGCGTGGCCTTGCCACATCTGCACCCAAAGGCCACAATAAGCCGCTCCAAAAGTGTCTTCTTCCAAGAGGCAATGTGTGCAGCCAACAGATCAGTGACATCAGATGGAGAAGGCACAGCTCGTGATCCCGCGTCAACTCGCACATCGTTGGGTGAAAGGCGAAGGGAGGTGGAAGAGGGTGGGGAGGGCCATGGGAGGGCCATGCATGCTACGATTCGAGCCTGCGTCCACTTGAAGTACGCAGTGGACAATCAAACGTATCTGACTGAACTTTCAAGAGGGGCATTCAATCTTTGCGGCTGCAAGCCGTTACAAGCAAACGGCCAACCCTGATCATGCAAACACTGTGTGTTTCAGAGTAATATCCTCAAAATTACTCTCTACTTAGTGGCTTAGACGGAAAACTTCCCAAACGCAATGTTGATTCACCTTGAAGTCCGCTCACTCTCGGCACACTGCACCGCAATTGTGCCTCTCGCGAGCACAACACCAGCAGCCCAGGCCGGCGCCTCTCAGAGCGCGGGGCAACCCTCTTCCAACTGACAAATGGAACCTGACTGGAGACCCCCGAAAAAACACGTTCCTCAGGAGAAAAACCATTCCCCCTTATGGCACCTTGCTGGTGGGTTCCACGTCTGTGATCACACATTAATTTATTTCCGGCAAGTCAAACACACGGGTTTGTGCTTTTTGAGGGTGCCCTACCCACTTTTTGGCTGCTTTGAAGGGAAACGAAAAGGAACTCCCTATTTTAATACATCATCAGCACAATGACTGAGACAGCAACACAAGCGAGACACCATAATACATCAAATATACAAATATGTGTATATCACGTCTATACCTGGCTTCAAGCTCCTGCGCTGCCCCAGCGCGACCAAACAAAAACAACAAGAACGAAGACATCCAACTAGATGTCGGCATGTTGACCACCTCCACAAACCCACTGATGTGCCATGGTCAAAAGTCCGCCGATTGTGGGCCATGGGCCTGGGCTTCCTTAAGAGTCGTTGTCATGATGTTCTGAATGTCCTATGTCCACCAAACCCTAAATGGTCTCTAACAAATTCTTCTCTAGGATGCTACATGATGGTCCTTCGGTGGCGATCGGAACCCGTCTAGAGGTCTGAAGTCAGCGGGTTGGGCAATGGCCTGCCATGGTAGCGGAGGTCTCACGGCGCCGGCCCCCGCACTCCGCACCAGGGGCCGATCGGTGCGAGAGTGGCCAACATGGACGCCAGGGCTGAGGGACGCCATGGCCAGAACTCCACAGGATACGAAGCAAGGTTCTATCTTGCGGTTTGTCTCTGTGGGGAGTGAAGGTGCTGCTGGTCAGCATGCAACTGGAGCCTCAACACAAGGCTTGGTTCTCCTTCACGCCGCTGTGTGCCTAGAGGCCTTGTATGACGGTGGAAAGGCCAGCTGGCATGCCCAAGTGAAGCATGATAATGAAGCCCTTGTCCCAATTCACGAATGAACAACAGCTCCAATCAAGCGCAACTCAACAAATGCTGATAGCACCTCAGAAAAACGCGACGTGTCTTGACACTAACGCGTGAATACAAACAACTGTCCGATTGCAGATTTGTGCTTCTGACTTCGGAGCATCCGATGTGCGATCCATTCTTGAGTCGTACCCTGGCTCGAATAAACATCACGGCAGAGTTCAGCAAAATGGCACCGAAGGAGCTACCCTCGCACTCACATGAGACCTTCTAGTCTTCCACTCGGCGGTCAGGTTCGATGCTGGTCGAATGGCATCGGACACGGCTTGGATGGGCGAGGCACCAAGCTGGCGGACCAAAGCACACATGGGCGTGGTTCTTTCTTTTTGGGCGGGGATACCCCTTTCAGGAACACATGCCCGCATGACACTTGAACTTTGGATACCCCAGGGCTCCTGCGAGATGCCGTGGCCGTTCCAAATGGGTGAGTAGCATCAACACATCCAAGAACTCCCTTACATCAGGCAATTCACGCATGCCAAACTTCAGGAAATCGCATCAAGGGCCCCTCAATGCGTCGTAACAAACAGGCTCAAGCTTGCATAACACCACAAATTGCGTGTAGCATCCCAGAACCCATCTGTCAGAACAATACCACGACACGCTCTCACACAAACGGCGTGACACATTCCTGAACACCCAAAATGCCAGCACATTATCCAGACATAGTGCCTACATACTCAAAGCTCCTGTGGCGGAGCATGCAGTGCTGCCTGGTGTAACTCAAGTTGTAGACACCAACATGATTCAATCAGAAAGCAACAAACCATGTACAGCAACTCCAAGGGTCCACTCAATGTCGACGGCGGGGCTCGACGTTATATGCACACAGAATACATACACAGCATATCTTTACACCTTGCACATCTGCATACAAATACCCATTGTTTCCGGTAGGCATTTGATTGCACACCGCGCAGCGAATTACTAAAAGCTATTTACAGCCCGCAGGGGGATGCACACTGGTACAAACATGGAGTCGACCAAGATCAACTCGGTCATCATTAACCCGCACGCATCACACATGTTCTAAGATGGCGTTCTCGGCTAACACTCCTCGCCGGAAGCAGCTATGTTCAGCATGCAAACAAGTCGATGATCAGACAATGTGTGCGCGGATGAGTCTTCCGCCCAGGGTCCGAGTGCCAACAGATGTAAGCAACAGGGCTTGTGGCTCGAATCCGTGCAGCTCCCAAGGTTACAATGGATCTCGTTAGATCCTTGGGGCTTGGAAAGCATGGTTTCACTTCTCGTACCTACCACCGACACTGATCTCGAAAATGCTGCCGGCCATGATTCTGCACCTCGCGCCCTGAGTTTGACCCCGGGAGGGCCGGGAGGGCATGACAAGCCCAAAAAGGAAGAGCGCTCTTTGAGCGAAGACATTCCGACTTCGTTCCCTCAAAAGCTGCAGTTGATGAGCTCATCCCAGGACAAGCCGGCTTCATCCGACCTCCTCGCTTCCTCAAACCTAAGCCGGCGTTTCGCATCGCTTCTGGATCGGTGACATACGTAGCAACTAGTAGCGCGGAAAGCGACTCCACTGCACGACTTGGCTAAGTGACAGCGCGTCCGGTCGTTGTGCGAAGTACAATAGGCAAGCCGTCAACCAACTAGCCCATGATTGTCAGACTATCACCACCAGCACCACCACCGCCACCACCACCACCACCAGCAGCACCAGTACCACCACCACCACCAGCACCACGACCACCACTACCACCACCACCACCGCCACCACCACCACCACCACCGCCACCACTACCACCACCAGCACCACCAGCACCACCAGCACCACCAGCACCAGCAACCCACCATCACCACCACCACCAACCCGCCATCACCATCAGCACCAGCATCAGCACCAGCACCAGCAATATCATTAACCCACCATTATTACTATCACCACTATCATCATTACCACCACCAGCAGCAGCAGCACAGCACCAGCACCAGCACCACCACCATCATCATCATGAGCAGAAGCAGCGGCATCATCATCCGAGACACAACTGTCGCTTGAATATAGCCCAGCAAATTGTGAATACATATTACATCTGTTCTAAGCGTGGATCACTCGTCATTTTGTCCGTGGCTCTTTCAGAAACTGCTAAGTTGACTTCGGTTCGGGGACAAACACCATTTGGGCGATATTCGCTGAACACAATTCAAAAGGACGCCATCCAAAAGGCAGGCACAGCTATTTGGCGCAAAGCTAGGGGTCAGGCGCCATTGCAACTCTAGAAGGTCGCTGAAACGTTCATGTGCCGTCGCCATGTCTGCTGCATTCGTGATGTGCTGCCTGGACTCACTTGTCCTCTGCTTCTTGCTCAAATCTCGAGTGCTTTGTGGCAGGTATTTTGGTATGCTACACGAGTGGCGAAAGCCAGTGCAGAAGAGTTGCAGGCAGCCAAGACCGCAAAGACACTCCACTGAAGGAGTCGCCTTTGTTTTCGGCATTTTGTCTGCTTCTGTGGAGAGGATGCAAAACCCACTCGTGTGGCATTCTCAGCGGCTTTTGTAGTTTGCGTAGCGGCATGCCCGTGCGAGTGCGTGCTGGGTGGGAAATAATATCCTTTCGGTTTGAGACTACGCATGAAACAAATTAGGAATGATGGTTGTCAGGGCCCTGCATCCGCTTCCAGACATAAGCATATATGATATAATGTATACTATATTATATATACACCTACATATATATATATATGTACATGTAGTATCATATAATACTCACACGATCATATCATACACATGTTGACAGGGTTGCATTGGGCCATATTGGGCGCTGCAAGGAACCTTGAAGCCCCCAAGGCGCCGACCCGCTTGTGGCCGACTGGATGCTGCTGCGCCGCAAGCTGTCCTTGGGCCTAAGGGAAGGACATGGCTTTGAACCAAGTGGATTTGGGCCGCCCCAAACATGTGTTGCTTGAAACGCTTCTGGACTTCCTGACTTCTGGAGGACGGACTTCCTTTCCCACAATTACATCCAAGTCTGGCCGATGGAAATGTTGGCCTCTTCCCAGGGGTTGCAGGATGGCCCCGTCGCACTTCAGTGATTCAGACGCTTCCGCCATCTTTTGCCCAACTCTCCAGCCGTCGGCCTGAGACTCGACTCCCCGACTCCCCGAGGCCCGAGGCCGCCGCACGGGCAGCAGGGGCTCCTTCGAGAGCCCGAAATGCGGCGCATGCGTGGCCGTGCCTGGGAGGGCTCGGTGACTGGCTGCTGGTTGGTCCGTTGGTTCCGTCAGTTGGTCGGTCCGTTGGTCGGTCAATTGGTTGGGATAGGTTGGCTTGGGTCAGGTTGGGTTGGTTTGGGGTTGGATTGCTCTTAGTTGTCTGGCCTGGATCTGCAGCACGATTGATTTCTGTCAGGCACAGCTCGCTGTGCCAGGTGTAGGCCGGTGCCAAACACACGGTGTCCAGGCCCCCTCGAAACGGGTGATTTCCCGTGAATTCCGACTCAATCACCTCCAAAGCAGGTTCCCGAAACAAGGACACACCCTGGTGGAGGTGGGCACGCCATCAACCAGGGTCGGTCAACCACGCCAGGGAAGGCAGGGGATTTGTATAGTCGAAACCCCTCTTTTGGTTTTGGTGTGCGGGTGAGCTCGCTATACACAACTTCCTTTCCGATGGTGAGTAAGCGGGATGATGAAACCAAACAGGGTGAGAATTGCGAAGTTTACCTTCACCCAGCTGTACTTATTACGATGATCCCCTTACAAAGGAAGCGTTCAAATTCACTTGGGCTGCACCAAAACTTTATCATAGACAACCTCCTTTGGGCTTCCCTTTAAGGTGGACCAAGGCGTGGCTTTTCAGCCAATTAAGCATCCCTGCCTTTCTCCTGCCTCGCCGCCTTTCTTGGATTTCCCGTCACGGAGCGATACGCGGCCAAAATGACTTGTTCCCCCAAGATAACCTGGGAAATTCAGGGCTCGTGATGTGAGTCTTTCACCGGGCCGCAGACTGACCAAGCCAATGGCTCCAGGAGCCCCGGGCAAGCAATGGCATTGATGCGATTGAAGAGCATGGGCACCTCAGCATGGATATGGGTAGAGGTCCCCTTGCTACCCGAGGATGGGTTGGGGGGGGGGTTCAAAGGGGTTTGAGTTCCTCCTGGGGCACTTGGACACTTAGGTGGTATGAAGCGCAATTCAATTGGGGATAACTATGACTCGCAACTGGGCCCACATGCGCCAGCCAGTTTCGCGGCTGCTCGTTATCAAAGCTGGCCCCACCAATTGCTGCTGCCCAACTTAATGAAATGCTGCCCGTGGCTGGCCCGAAACAAAGACGTGCCATTCTACAGCCATGGAACGCGGTGAAAGGCTTCAGGAAAGTGGCTTGCTGTGAAAGCTCCTGCAAGGGGCGCCATGCTGTCTTTGTTGCGCCAAACGCAAAGCGTTCACCCATGAAGAAGGTAAACGAATTCGTTCGCTGAAGCAACCTTTCACAAATGAGCATTTCTCAAAAAGAGGGACCCCTTCAAGTGGTTGATTCCTTTGGTTCCCCTCGAAAACATCCCAAAAGGACCACTTTTCTCAGAACTGAGAAGCACCCACATCTAGCAGCAACATGCGGGAATCTTGGTGGACGGTTACGCGGGCAGGGCAATACGTGCATTCAAATTGAAAAGAAAAACCACCTCTCTACACATTGTGCCGCTTAATTATGTAGTTTGGCGGCCTATCCAAAGGAAACCGACACCATCCGACACCATAACGGCTATGAGTGGAGGGGCCCCAATGACAGCACTGATAGGATCAGAGCAAAACCCCT